AGTCACAGTGTGTGTATTCTTAGGCACAGAGTTCCCTGCGGCCTACGAATTCAAGTGTTATTTACAAAAATAGGGCGTTTAGACAGGTATTAAATGTTGTTTCATAGGTGGCATAACACATTTTAAAAATCTACATCTACGAACTTGTATACACATACACACACAAACAAAAGATGAAAATGACAGTCATCTGCACTGAATATGGAATGAAACCAAACAGCACGAGTGGATATTAAAGCTATGGCCTGGGAGTGCTGGCCTGTATTTTTTTTTTTTTTTTTATATCTGTTCTCTCACTGTAAATTATAAAATAACAATTTGTGATGCCATTTCCATGAACAGCATATTCTTGCACTTAGTTCCATTCTAATGCTATATTTTTTAAGAAGCTGGTTTTGTTACGTTTATTTTTTTTTCATATCTTGAAACTCCACATTTTTTGTGTCATTGTTTCTTGCAATATCTGAAGAAAAAAAGCAAGTAAACACATACTAAAAAAATAACCAGAACACACACACATAAATATGTACGTATATATTTCATATATATATATATATATATATATATATATATATATATATATATATATATATATATATATATATATATATAATATATATATACGTACATATTCTGCCACATCACTCTTGTCAACTATACACATTTCGTCCGAAGAATCTAGTGAAATACCAGTTGATTCGGCGTCAGACACGATGGCCATGTTGAGAAATCGCCTTACTGTGACGTCAAATAAAGCTTCTTGTATTTTCTGTCCGCGCGTACTTCAGAGGTGATTTTCGTGAGAATTATTTATCAGGCAAATGTTGTTGGAAATTTATATATATATATATATATATATATATATATATATATATATATATATATATATATATATATACATATACATATATATATATATATATATATATATATATATATATATATATATATATATATATATATATGTATATATATGTATATATATATATATATATATATATATATATATATATATATATATATATATATATATATGTAATGGACTGGTCATTGCCTTTGTATTGTAAGCTTTCTTTCTGTTGCTTAAACTCATTATATTTTAAGTATCTACAAATGCAGACACACACACACACACACACACACACACACACACACACACACACACACACACACACACACACACACACACACACACACACACACACACACACACACACACGTTATAAAGGAAACATAATTTGAAGTGGATGCTGCTATATTCTATCACTTAAATGTGTATCTCAAAGCATTCAGGTCAACTTTACTTCTACTGTTACATTTGCAGGAACATTATATACTATCACACTTGGTAAGTATCCTGTTACAGAATGTAGTTTTGGTTTTTACATCTTTTACATATACACATACTGCATTGATAGTCGCGCTTATATCGTTATGTTATATTAAAGTGTGTCAGGAAATGATAATTCGAAAACTGTCCACCACAGACAGAAAGAACTAGCAGTCCTTGGAGAGGGAGAAGCAATTCTGCAAACCTGAAGAAACTCGTTCCAAAGTCGAACTTCAGAACTTAAGCGACAGACCTTCGACAAGGCGTGGGGCTATATTCTTTTCCTCTTTTCAGAATCATGCTTCACTTTTAGAAAATCCTTCATTATAGACCCACTAGCTGTTTTATTTGTAACAAAGAAAAGGGTCTTGCAAGTTTCGTGTTTTAGTACGCATTCTCATCATACTGAAAAAAAGTCACATCAACTATGCAAATGGAGGGCGCAAAACTCATCTTTCACCGCCTTTCGTCTCACCCAGATTTGTTGTTCTCAGACTTTTTGGTAACGTCATCCCCATCAGTGTTGTGATAAACCTCCATTTCCCTTTTCCCGTTCCTCTTCAGCTATGGAAAGCTAAAACAAGGAAGACAGTTGGAATGCTTGGTTTTAAATGTATTTCATATTCAAAAAATATTCTTAATCTGTGCTTGTGTATCTATGCTCAGCTTATTGCAAAACATATACATCAACGAAGTAAGTGAAGAGTGTAGGGTACTTATAACTGGTTGAAAGTTTATGGTAGACTAAGGTGCAGTCGCATTGACACATAACCCCACACGCAGATAAAGAAGGGCGGGAGGGAAGGATGATGTGGCTGAATGTTTTTTTTTTTCGCTTTTAGGAAAGGGATTATTAGAAAGATGGGTCAGAGAGAATTTGACTTGGCAGTGCTATCATGGGCCAAGGATCCTTTTTGGAATAAATCATCGGATGCCTATACTGACGCGTGTAATTGATCCCTTCTTTGGCATTTATGGTCTGACAATCCTAATACACATTCTCTTGGAACGAAAGGAACTTCTCTGGGAGAAATGCTGGTGTAATTCGTCCACTTCCCTGCGAAATAAACCAAACATTTAATAGCGAGGGAAAGCTAATTCCCCCGCCTAATGAAAGTCGAACCGAAGTAGAGAAGTGAATTAATTTAATCAGAGTGCCTCCAAACACCT